TGCTGGGTGGAACCATCCCATGGCAGAGGAGCCAGGGCAGAGAGGGAAGTGACAATGCCCCAAGGCCACACAATGAGATAGTGACAGGCAGGAAAGGGAAGCCGGGTTGCCTGTCCCCCGGGCAGGGCTGTACCCTCCAGTCCCCCTGCTCCTGCTCTGCCCTGCTCTGTCCCCTCTGCAACACGCTGGTGTTAAGAGACAGAAAACAAACACACGACAGCCTGTAAAAATAAAGAGCCCTGCAACTGGTAGTAAAGACTCCAGCAGCTGTAGGGAGCCAAAGGCTTCTTGGAGGGGGTTGGATGGAAGTCGAGTTTCCCTCCCTGCCGGTATTGTATTTCTTTCCTCTGCCAAAATGTGCTTCCTGAGCCTTGGGCAGAGCTCTCCGTGGCTGACCCTCACCTTCCTCTGTTTAGCCTGGAGCTCAGGCTGGCCACGAGCGCCTGGGGCCGCGCCTGGGGCCGGGCAGAGCCTCCCGCTGCGTGCACATGGCCCGGGTCAGCCCCGCTGTCAGCGCCTTCCTGAGAGCCAGAGCCAAGTCGGGCCACACCTGAGTCCCTGTCCCGCAGGAGCGGCCGGGCAGAGCCGGGACACAGAGCCCAGAGAGAGCACGGGTGAGACAGGAGGGGTGGCAGGGGCAGAGGGTTGCACTGATGGGATCCATCCAGCCCTTTTCTCCCGGGCAAAGATGTGTCGGGTTCCCTCTCAGCACAGCGGCACCGGGGAGGCAGCGACAACAAAGCAGAGGTCAGACAGTGCTCTAACCAAGGGGGTAATTCTGGCTCCTTTAAAATCCTCACTCCTGTTTGCCTGGAAGCAGAAGGCTGTGCTACTGCTTAAAAAGAGCTGAACCACCCTCAGGGTGACTCATAGCCCTTCACAGAGCTGCCATGCTGATTTTACAAATATTAGAGCAATGCCTCAGAGTCAGGGGTTTTGTATGGTTTAACATATCAACTTAGGAGCAGACCCATAGCTCTTTTATGGAGCTCCCCTTCCCTGTATTTTATTTCCTTTCTTGGTGCCAGAATTGTAGCCAAAGCTGAGCTTAACAAAGCAACAGGCATGGCCATTCTTCCCAGCCCTCATTTACCCTGGTGAGAAGGGAGAAATTAATTTAAACCCTATCAAAACTGCAGAAGCTGTTTTGGCATTTTGTGCTGCAGAGCACAGCGTGAACCAAACGCTCCCCTGCACCACCTGCACTCACCAAGCCCAGCCAAGAGCACAGGAACTCGCAGGTTGGAATCCTTTTGTTCAGGCATCTGCAACAGACAAACGTGATCTCAGGTGTTTCTGAGAAAACCACGAACAGAAGCACAAGGTTATGTTATTAAGACCATTCAGTGTGGTCATGTCTGATCCTAACAAAGAGAAATAATGTGCTTTTGGTAAGCACAGGTAAATACTGCAATTAAGCAGCTCCCCATCCTTGCCTGTCCCACACTGCCTACACTGCCCCCCCCAGCTCAGAACCACCCTGTTCTCTGCAGCACCAGGCCCATCTCCTTTCTGGATTCAGAGAAGCAAATACAATGTACACTGGGATTTCCCAACCACCTCCATCTACTTCAAGTCCACCTTAGCTTCCTCAAATCACATCAAATGTGATTGAGCTGATCAGAACGTTTTCAAACCATTTTTCTTCCTCTTCTCACTTCGTACTTGAAAGTTTTTGTATGTAGGAAAAATCAACTTGCCACAATGCTCAAGTGAATTTTGTAGCAAAGACAAAAGATCTAATCAAGCTTCTATATTGAAGTAGCCTTTGGATTTTCACGATGGCAAAATCTTCCCACAGATGCCCAAAATCAACTCAACGCAGCCACAAGAGGGAGTCTGAAATCTCCTGTTAATGCCCAGATGGATCCTGGCTTCTGAACTCTTCCAGTATAAGAGCAGGCAACAAGCTTCGAAAGGATTGTACCATCCTGAGCTCCACATTTCTTCTCCAGCTTTACAGGAGTTTCCTTGCTCTGAAGGAAAAGGTTCTTTAAAATCATGAATCTTTGGTATAAAGATGCAGGTTTTTCTTTTCATACGAATGGGGTGGGGAAATACCTTATTGATCCACTCTAGAACCAGACTGCAACAAAAGGCAGGGGACAAGGAGTGCACGAGTGGGTTTTGTCCTCATCAGTCTCATTTTATAAATACTTCAAAGGCTTGTCCCAACCAAAGTGACACCCAGAAGTGTATTTTACAGCAGGAGTGATAACATGCATAATTTGACACACAACAGAATTGTGGAACTTGCAGGGGAACTAAACAAAACCAATTCCTTCCCTGCACTTGCTCAGACCTATGGCTGTGAGCAGAGTGGGAGCTGCTGTGGGACTCATGGGTTTTCTTTGCTAGCAGTACCTTCTCCAGGGGCTTTTCCTTGAGATACGAGCAGAGTTGTTTGAGGTCAGGGCATGTCAAACTTCCAGCTGTCTCGGAGGGACACTTTCTCCTCAGAAACGTGCTGTTGTGCTACTGCTGCACTAGAAAACACACACTCCCACCTTACTGAGATTAGAAATTACACTTGGATTTCACTCCTCCCACCCATAATCTGAAAGAAAGGAGCGTGGTGGGGGCACTCTACCACGACCTTGGCTTCACGTTTTGTTAATTTGACACGTGATTAGAAGCTTTGGCAGAGCTGAGAGCCCTCAGCAAAACAAGTAACACTTCTCACAGCACCAGTGAAACATTTGTGTTGAATCTGTAGCGTCTGCTCTCCATCTGCCAAAAAATTGTCAAGACACATTCCTCAAAAATACTTTTATAGTCTTTACTCCATCTTGACATCCACTTGTTCTAGTTTCCAAGAAAACATTACTGCTCCAAAGGGGCATCTATGTTTGGGGATTTTGAGCAGAAATAGCTCCATACAGGCTGTATCGAAAGCACCACTAAAAACCTCTGGCAACACTTTCTTTTTGTAGAGATTTAGCCAAGAGATAAAGACTAGAAGCGATTATCTCAGAGAGGTTAATGAAGGAAGTGCTCACAGTGCAGCTGAATTCTACTTGACTTCATGACTTCATTGTCCTCCTCTGCTCATCTCTTTTGTACTTTCACCTGCCCAGTCCTGCTTCAAGCTGAAGAGGGGCTTTAGGCCAGCAGACAGTTAATTCTGACATTTAACAGTCAGTGCATCAGTGCTGGATCCCCCACCTCTGACCCAGGAGGCTGTAGATTCAGCTGTCATGAAACAGATGAACAATCTAAAACCTTTGAGGCTGCAGCATAAATCACTACTATTATTTTTTTTTTTTTGCTTACAGTATTAGCCAACTTAAGGGTGGGGTTCCTAACAGGCTGCCTAAAAAGCTTGCCCCCCTATTTATGCACACCCTTCTTTTCAGAAGCAATTTAATGGGGAAAAAATACTCTTTAATTATGATTAGGGGCTGACTACTGGAATGCCCACACCTGTTTATTCAAAAGCAAATGTTTAGCAGTGCAAGGTTCATACATTTTGTTGACAATAGTATATTATTAGTGAAACATGGTAAGTAATATCTAAAACCTCTTTCTGTGAGGCTGCCTAACTGCTGGAGTGGGTCAGCAACCAAAGATCTGATGGCATACATGTTAACATCCCAGAACAATTTATCCTCTGCTCTGCCAAACCTCATTTCACTCACTCAGCTGAATGTAATTAGACCCCAAGCTTGTCCTGAGTTCAGACTCTGCACAGAGGGGTTATCTTTCTTCAGCAAGACGTGGCTGCTCTGAGACGCAGGCAGTGACCTGAGAGGAGAAACTGCAAAGGGGCAACACCATCGAGCAGATTTAGAAAAGGAGCTGCTAAGACAGCCTGATATGTACATTAAAATGCAAACATGTATACACTTGGAGCACCTGCTTTGAGTTTCAGTCAACGCACCCCAGCAGAGAGTAGCAAGAACCCACGAGCCACACAGTGCAGGAGCTATTTTTAGATAAATGTTACACAATTTTCCCTCCAGCTCTGTGGATCAGAAACATATGCTGCAGCTACAGACCCATTACAGTTTAATCCTACCTCAAACAAGGAGATGTTAAATCTCCAGATCCCAATAACACCAGGCTACTCAAGGAGCAGGGCACTGTTCTGCTCTTTGCCGGGGCTCAGGTGACACAACCTGACCCAGAGCAAGTTAAACTGCACGTGGCTTTGGGAAAACAAGTTCACTGGATTTTTTCTGACCTTGTAATAATGCTTTTGCTATTGGGTAGAGGTGAATGAGAGACTAGATCCAATTCCTACGAAACATATCACTTTCAGACATTGCATAAAAGATGTATTTTAAAAAGCTGATTGACTCCTCTATCAAAAAGAACATCATAATGGAATAACAGGAAGGATCTGCCCCAAATCCCTCAAGTCAGAGCCTTCAGTCAAGACAGAATACAAGCCACTTTCTTACAGGGAATCTGTGTCTGCTTCGTGGGACACAAGATCCTTTAGAAGGAAATTTTTCCTTCAAGGTGCTGAAAACAGAGAGTGTGATTTTTACAGTGTAGCAGCCTGGGTTGCCCCAGTAAAAAATAAAAGGTATGGAAGCCACTGACCTTGCTGCATGAGAAATGAGCAGCTGGCAAGTACAACAGGGATCTCTACGTCAGAAACAGCACTGACCTCATCCGACTAAACACGCGCTCCAAGACTGATTTCAGGTCAAATCCCTGCAGGGGTCCCTTGGCAAAATGCACAATTATCAGGTGCAGGACTAAAGGAAGACATTAACGACTTGTTTGTTCCCAGAGTTTCCTTGATGCAAGTGGCAATGTTCTCAGTAGGTAAATGAAGTCTCACACCAGTTTGTGATTGATGGGCACAGCACTCAAAGACCTGGGCTACATCTGCACACGTCATGGACAAACCTGTGTCACCACCAGCCCGCTGGCGTGACTGGTGCTCAGAGGGTCCCAGGGGCTGTGTGACTGCAGAGCCCTGCGCAAACAGGGAAATGCATTGTTCTCGTTGCTGTGAGGGTGAGTTTAAAGAACTCTGCTCAGCCATGTGATGGTTTGGGGCTCTTTAATCGTTACTTATACCCAACGCACACCGGACAATTTACACGCGCAGCAACACATCTCTGCACCTGAGTCACAGCCTGCCCACTTCACCAGGACCAGAAAAAGAACCTGCTGCCAAAGCGAGAAGGCTTCAGCTCCCCTTCAATGGGTGGGTTTGGCTCTGGTCTGGGTCTAGAGTGATAGGGATTCTCAGGCAAAGGACGGTCTGTCTTCACCTTCGTAACCTGCAAAGGAAAACAAAGGAATGAGATAACTTCCCACAGCATTTACAGAAAAGCCACACTGAGTCAGAACTTAAAGAAGAACTACCAAGAAGTACCAAACAACACTAAGGACACATTGTTCAGCTGATTAGAGCTCCTGAGCACTTTTAAGGAAAGTGAGGGGAGGGGGACTTCACTCAAAACTACTGAGCAGCTCCACGAGTGTGAGCTTCACTCCTGAAGGAAGAGTCTCCACACCAGGAAAAGCAAAAAGCAAGAGTGTCACTGTCTAAAAAAAGCACAAATCTTCTAGGAAAGCAACCCAGAAAAATGCTGACAGAGTCTGGACTCTATTAGGCCACAAACTTCCAGTGTTGAGTTGAGGAATCACCATCTGGCCAGGAGACGCTGGAGACCTGGTCTGGACAAGATGTCCATACGGAGGGAGAGAAGGATCTGACTATGAGACCAAAGAGGTATGAAGTTACCTTGGAGAGCTCTCCCAGATCAGGTCTCACCCAGCCCAGCTTGTCCAGCACACAGTTGTCAAAGGCTGCCTGTTGCTTCCTGCACCGCCGCAGCTCCAGCAGGTTGGTGTAGTCGATGCACGTCCAGTACTCGGTGAAGGGCTCTGCACAGTGGGCCTTGATCTTCCTGTGAGGGGCCACACACAGAAAACCCTCAGCACCTGTCACAGTTTTAATGCTCTTCTCTCTTACTCACTCAAACCTCAACTTGTGGTAAAGTGTTTCTTGCAGTTCTGAGTTCTCGGGAACATTTAAATCTTCAGAGAAGTCAGTACTTGAAGCATTTAACAGAACTTGACACAAATACCTGTAAAATTTCTATCACTGTAGCTACAGTAGTGGTAGCAATAACTTTAATGATATGTGGAGGGTATTCTGGCTGGGCAGATGTTCACAGCTCCTCCACAGGAGATCCTTGTTTTGCCAAACAACTCACTCACATGATACAATGCTCTAATGCTTCCAAATTAATTTGATATCTCAAGCTCAAGCAGCCATGCTTAGAACAGAGGTTTCTGATTACCAGCTGTTAGACTCGAGGTGGACACACTTTGAGCTAATTAAATGAGGTCCTTTACTAGCAATACTGGCCCTGGATCTATATTTTTGGTGCATCTCCTTAAGATTTCACAGTAGTTCACCTGTGGAACAGGTAGGACAAACAACACAAAGCTCAGGTTGGATTCCTGGCTTTCATAACACAACTACAAGGTGCAGCAGCAGCAACCTCCCACCACTGCCCTGGGATCCCAACAAAAACCCAGACCACCTGCTCTCGAACATAAGCCACAGGACTTCACGTGAAAGGATAAAGTCACGTATAAATAAGCAAGACAAGTGGCCTCTATCCCCTGGAGCTAAAGTTTAAGAAGCAAAAATAAAGGCTTTGAAGGCTGTGATAGTGCTGGCACTTTTAATTAGAATCACAGAATGCTTTGGGTTGGAAGGGACCTTAGAGACCATCCAGTTCCACCCCTGCCATGGACAGGGACACCTTCCACTAGCCCAGGCTGCTCCAAGCCCCGTCCAACCTGGCCTGGGACACTTCGAGGGATAGGGCAGCCACACCTTCTCTGGGCAACCTGTGCCAGGGCCTCACCACCCTCCCAGGGAGGAATTCCTTCCCAATATCCCATCTAACCCTGCCTTCTGGCAGTGGGAAGCCACTCCCCCTTGTCCTGTCACTAGTACCCCTTGTCACAAGTACCCCTCCAGCTCTCCTGGAGCCCCTTCAGGCAGCGAAGCGCTGCACTAGGGTCACCCTAGAGCCCTCTCTTCTCCAGGTGAACAGCCCCAGCTCTCCCAGCCTGTCTCAGAGCAGAGGGGCTCCAATACCGCAGCAGGACCAGGCAGGTCCCCCGGCCCCGCCAGGCCCGTGTGCCCCGGCGCGTCCCCGCTCACCTGAAGAAGTCGAGGGCGCACTGGTTGACCTGCCGCCCCTCCTTGAGGCACCTGCGCGGGTCCTTCTCCTCCCAGCGGCACAGCATGAACTCCTTGTTGGGCCGGTCGCACTGCGAGCCGTAGTGGTGCGCCGCGGCCTTCAGCACGGCCGAGCTCACCGCCACCTGCGGCGGGGGCAGAGCGGCCGTGAGGGGGGCGTAAAGCAAAGGGAGAGCAGGGCGGGGAAGGGACCGCACTCACCTCCTGCACATCGAGCTCCTCCAGCGAGGGCACCTGGACGGCCCCGGGCATGGCGGCTCTCCTTGAGCGCCCTCAGCGCCCGCCCGCACCGCGCATGCGCCGAGCGGGGGCGGGGCCTCGAGAAGGCGGGGCTTCTCGGGGGCGGGGCCTTGGCGGCGGGACCGTTGCCGTGGTGACGGGACGCGCCGCCGGGGCCGCCATGGAGCTGGTGGGGGATCGGTACCTGGGAGGGGTCGTGAGGGGCAGGTGGGGACGGGCAACAGGGACACGGGGGGACACGGGGGACAGGGGGGACACGGGGGGAGCTGAGGGGGGCAGGGGGAGTCTGGGGACACGGGGGGTCCAGGGAGGATCGGGTGGACCGGGGAGCACGGGAGGACCGGGTGGGGACAGGGGTCCCCGGGAAGAGGCGCAGAGGGATGCTGGGTCATGGGACACGGGGGATCTGGCGGGGGCGCGTGGGGCAGGTGGGACCGGGGAGGGGGTAGGTTGGGTCGGGGGGATCGGGAAGGGGCACGGGGAATACTGGGGACAGGTGGGACCGGAGGGACCAGAAAGAAGCAAGAGGGGGGTCAGGAGGGCCGGCCAGGGGCACGGGGACACAGAAGGCACGGCGGGGGTCGCGGGGGGCAGATGGGATCGGGGGGATCGGGGGGGAACAGCCCCCCTCCCCACCCGCCCCGTCTGTTCCAGGATGGAGGGACACGGCTTCTACAAGCTGCCGACGGGCACCGAGTACCGGGGAGCGCTGTGGGACGGGATGTTCCACGGCGAGGGAGAGCTGTTCTTCCCCAACGGCATCAGATACCGGGCGCTCTGGGACCGCGGGATCCCCACGCAGGTACCCCGGGCTGGGGGGCTTCACCCCGAGGGGCCCCCGCTGTCGGGAGCGGCCCCGCTGCGGGGGAGGTTTGGAGATAAAATACGTGGATTTTCGAGCCAAGCCGATTTTTGGCTCCCTCGAGGTGTGAGGAGGCTGCTGGGCATCCCTCAGATACAGTTCCCAGCACTCCAAACCCGAGCTGAGCCGTGCTGGCCCTGCTGGGGCTCTACCGAGGAACCTGGCCCTGCCGTTCCCTCCATCCATCATATTTATTAACATGTTTTGCAGGGGAAATTCGTTTTTGCAGATGGTCTCGAATATGAAGAAAAAAACTGGCATTACTGCGATGGCTACGACAGAAGATTTTATACAGAAATCTGTTCTGGTTTCAAACCACCAGGTACTAAATTGCACTTTGCGATCCTGAGAGTCTGGAAGGAATTAAAGTAACAACTTTGCCTAAGAAAGATTAATTCGGCTACATGAGTAACATGGAGCAGAAAGGCTCTGGCTAATTTCATAGGAGGCTGCCAGAAGAATGTGGACACCACCTTCCACCAGCACAGCCCGGGATGCAGCATTTCATCCACAGCAGGGGCTCTTGGAGTGATGACCAACAGGACAGGGCTTTATTTACAGCTTTTGATACCCTGATTAACCCTTGGACACATTTCACCCTCACTGCATAAGCAGTATGCTTTTAATAACAGGAAAGCTGAGCAGAAGCAATTAGAATCCAGGATATCAAATAAAGTTTCAGTTATCTGCCCCTCGTAGCTTTTTAGTACATGCCAAAGCAGGCATTTGTGTCCCATCTATATTTTTGCTTTTATAATTTTATTATTTGTCTGTAGTCAAAAGGTGGAAAGATTTATAAGGAAACAAGTGAGTAAAATCTGTAACATAATACACACAGTACTCTATACATAGAATATTTTAGTGATGACATGTAGTTCTGTGAGGCCAGCGAGTCTCTCCTGGCCCCAGTTTGGATTTTAGGGTCGTATTTGTAATGTCAGCTCGGTGGGGCTGAATCACAGGACTGCGAGTGAGGGAATCAAAGTGGCAGCTTCTTATCACACACTTTTTGGGTGTGCATTTTTCCATTTTTGTTTTCTCCGTCTGCAAAACTGTAAAAATGTTTTACAAAATTATTGTAAAATAACAGTATTGTTTTTATAGCAAAAGCCACGGAGATGTATTTGTTAGTTATCTTGATCAAAGGCTCAAATTTAAAAATCAACCCAAAAAACCAAAATCAACCCTTTTTTTTTTTCCTTCAGGCATTCCTCAGCTTACAAATCTGGATCCTCCCAAAACAATCCCAGAAGGTTGTTACGACTGTGGTGATGGATTCTACAATCCTGAAACCAGAGTTGTTGTTGACTACAAATTCACATTTCTGAGAAATGCAGGTATGATTAACTTCTTTTAGAAGGTAAAGTAAGATGAGTTTATTTGTCCTATCTCCTAGGACTAAAGCTAAAACATAAACAACTCCATGATTTGGTTCTCTTATTACCGAGCTAAAATATCTTTTACTTATTTATTTTATCAGTGATTTATGCATCCCCAGAGTTGTATAAATCATATTTTGCAAAATTACAGTGAAGTATTCCCAAGCAGATACAAATAAATATATTGTATTACCATTTGGTATGTTAATCTCAGAAAAATCTTCATTCTCTTCTGTTATGATCTCAAGCAAGGGAGTGGTTGTGAGGGGCACACCATTGATCCTGAAAGCTAAAAAGCTCCATGCTGTGAACCAGCAAAGTGCTCAAGCATGTGCTTATCTCTACAAGTCCAATTTATTAAAATCAGTCTTAGTCTTACTTTCCTGAACAGGACACTTTCACTTTGGAGAGCTGTGTTCTGAGTAGAGTCTGGCAAATACTGGGTCCCGTGGGTAAGTCCCCAAACTGAAAAGCCTTGGGGAAAATTCATTCTCATCAAGCCAAAAGAGAAACTTTTCAAATTAAAAAAACCACAGAAGATCCTTGAACAGCTGACAATGGGATAGCTCAAGAAACATAATCTGACCTGAAAAAAACCCACTTTGTGTTCTGGCTATTTAACCTTTGTATTGAACACCTTTTTAATGTAGAGGATTTTTAAATGAAAATGATTTCTGAAAGCAACCACCCACCTCGCTGTTTTTTCCCCCCCCAAAATGCCCAAATTGCAAAACCTGTTTTTTCAAAACCAGAACATTTCATTTTCAGCATGCCACAGTTTAACAGTTTTGTTGCTTGGAAACTCCATTTTTCAGCAAATTTACTATTTGTTGAGAAAAAAAAAAAATTCTGCCCTGCTCTACTTTCAAGAGCTTTTGTAAGTGTGCACTGTGATATTGGAGGAGGGAAGTGAGGGGGGGTTAAATGAATTGGAGATACCATCTGCTATAAAATATACCCTATGATACATGGCCTGTTTTATAAACGTTGAATAAAAACTGATCCAGATTATTACAAATGGCATTGATCCAAAATACTGGAATGCAGTGGGCCTACTGATGAGGAAGATAAGCAACATGCTTTCCAAAAACACAGGAACCTACACAGATTAGTACAGGGGGGAACGCCTTGGAATTCAATTTATTGTTTTTTAATCTGTTCTTTGAACTCATTGTCCTTTATGACATTTATCTCAAACCCTACAAATTATATCAATCAATATTGGCTCGGCAGCCCAGCACAGCGTGGGGCCTGACAGTCGTGGAGATGGGCTTTGTGTGGCCCTTCCAGTGAGAGCCTGGACACAAAGTTAAAGTTGTTGATGTGAGTGTGAAGAAGGAATGTGTCATGTAGGCCAGACCCTTCCTCTCAAGAACATGAACACAATTGAAACACCCGGCACTTGTTCAACATCAGAGGAACTCTTCCCGCCCCAGGAGAGATGATTCAGGGCACAAGGCCACTGAAGTAAAGAGGAAAAAAAAAATTAAAAAAAAAAAAACAACCAGCTGTAAGCAGAAGAAACTGAGGAAGAGGCTGAGATGACAGGGAACAGATCCAGAACTACTCCATTATAGGTTGGGCAGGAAGGAGCAGGAAAACCTCCAGGCTTCCAGCCAAGTCTTGAAAGCATCAAAAGCAGATGGTAGGAAGCATTCAGGAAGTTCTTACAACAGCTTGACAGGTTTACCAAAATGACAGTATCTCCCTCAGCCCTGGCAGCGGGTTTGCAGAACACTCCAGGCCTCACCTTTCACCCCTATTATGAAGCAATTTCTAATTGTTTCTCGGCTGTTTGTGGAAGAGGGCGAGGAACCCTTGGCACTGCCTCGCCTGCAGCCTGACAGCATCCCGGTACCGCTCCGGAGGAGAAGAAAACAGGCGCCATTTGAAACTCCTGAGTTTGGTTCCAGCCCTTCTCTGTGGAGATGAGAGGATGTCGAGCACTGCAGAGCCCCCGATAAGTTTGGCAGGCCCTGCCTTTCCCCTACATGGAGGTCTGATCCTCATTTCCTCCAAGGGCTCTCACTGCTGCAGCAGAGCAAAGGCCCATCGTGAAAACATAATCAGCCCAGGGAACGAAATGACAGCAACAGTTTTGTTGTACGTTTTTATCTAGCAAAGTCTTCCAAATTCTCATTACAGCCCTGCAGTTATTGCTCCGTCCCTAAACCTCTGTTTCCTCGGGGGTGCTCAGATTTCTCTTCGTTCTCCATGTGTTCTTCAAGCTTTTCTTTTTTTTCCAGCATTGCGAAGTACGAAAAACTGAGCACATAAATAAGAATGGGAGTGCTCATTTGTAAGGAGATACCTTGTTTATTTTGAATAGATACTGGGGCCAGACTCCTGTTTCACTAGGAGTATTCCTTTTGCTTTTTTCCCCCCAGAAATGGGACTCCTGGCACCTTTGTAAGGATTGGTCAATAGAAAGATGGGATGATTTCCCAATTTTTCGGCGAAAAGTAGAAACTACAAGATGTTGCTTTTAATGCAAAGCAGGGAGGTACAAGAAGAGCTGTGACAGTCAGGTTTTAGGACCCTCAATTATCAGAGAAGCCCAGAGCTTTCGAAGAGAAAATACCATCAAAAATAGGATTTTTTTTACACCGAGATGGAAAAGATCTCAGGAGATTGCCTGGGTCACCTCTCTTGATGAAAAGCAAAGATATTTCTGATGAAAATTGCCTTGTTTCTCCTGTGGCTCTCCCAAGGACAGGTTAAATAATATAAAACATGTTTTTTCCTCTTTCTAATATGAGAATATTTGTGCTACTACTTTCATATTCCATCTTCAGGTTTAATTCGTATGTGTTGGGTGCAGTCAATATTACCTG